TTGTGTTTTTGCTATATAAATGATAAATCATGTTTATGAATGAGATGAAAAAATGATTTATGTTTAAGAAATGATTTTATGATAGTTACATTTTTGCATCTTTGGGGTGGGATTATTGACACAAAAACTAGTTCTATGACCTTAGCTAACAAGTTATAGTAGTTAGCGTAAGGTCTTGGTTAGCGGATTATAATAGTTAGCAAAGATCATGATGATAAAATTATTGATACGACTAATGTCATGAGTTATAGCAATGACCGTAGTTAACGATAAATGAATAATAATGATGATTTATGATGATGATGATGATGATTTTTAAAAATTGATCCATGATTTAGTTTGATTACGATATTTGAATACCAATATATTTTACAATGATTTATGAATTGATTTATTTTGATATTGATTTATGATATATAAAATGTTTGACATAATGATGATTTTTTAAATGTTTTGACATTATGATTTGACAAATATTTTGAATGATTTTATATGATATGTATGAAATTGATACTTAATCCCGTAAGGTGTGTGAAGCCATACTTGTTAAGTTGTGATTTGTTCATTCTCCTTTTACTTTTTTTTTTTTTTTTACAGATGAATAAGTAATAAGTTTATTTAGTTATTTGAGAAACTAGAATATTAGATTAAAAAGATTATTTGGGCATTGGAGATATTATTGGCTAATGAGATCTTATAAAATAATTTTATATTTTTATTAGTTTATATTTGGATATATAGATATTTATCATCAGTTTATTGAAGAAGTTTATAATGATTAAGAAGAAAGATTCTTGTTACTTTAAAATTTCACTATAAAATAATATGATCGTGTTACATTTCGATCTCGAGATATGACATAAAGCTTTTTCAAAATTCAGAAATGTGCAACAAACTTGAAAATTCTCCTTTTTTTTTTTTTTTTTCAATTTTCCTTTTATAGCCAATTAAGTGGATCATGACGACGAGTTGCGAATGAAATAGTCTCATGATGTGGATGTACAATGTGAACCAAATTACATATCAGCAATTCAGCAGTGATGACAGTGAGAAATCTTTGCTTCAAGGGTGGGCTGGTTCAGCATATCATAAACCAAATTTGGATGTGGTAAGGTGTCAAGTGGAGCTAGAAAACAAAATGCTAAAGCTGGTGCAATACTTTTTATTGGAGTTGGATGTGAAGGTTAAGCTGCCAGGAAACTACCAGCATAGCTACTACCTAATCTAGCTTTTAGTAGTTAAGCACTCAAGATGAATATAGATGATTCAACCAAACAGTTTTGAGTAGGAGTAGCTTAACAAATTGGCTTATAACAATTCTGTTTTCTTATTTGGATGAGATCTTTTTCAACATCGAAAACCCACTTCTACCTAAAAAAGGATTAACAAAAAAAAAAAAAAGAAGAGTGCCTTAACAACATAAACACTCACCAAGCTTAAAATGGCTAAAAGAGATTGCTACTAGCAAAGGTTTATTGGGAATTCGCCTTTTGGAACCCAATTTGGTGATTGAGAAAATTGCCATCAGAGCTGCCCTTTACAAACTTGGTCGCCAATATCATCCTTCAATTTTTTAATATAAAGCATTACGTAATCTATCTGGACCAGGACAACTCAATTTTATGTACATCCTTTTCTCCAAAAAAGGAAAAAAAAAAAAAAAAAACTAGGCGGTTTGGATTATTTGATTATCATTATAATTGGCGCCAAAAAAAAATTAGGAATTCCAAAAAAATTTTGCTCGGGATATCTTATCCATCTAAATAGTTGTAAGGGTAAAAGAAAAGGATAAATTAAATAATTTTTTAAAAATTGAAAAATGTGATAAAATAAAAAGAAAGTCCCGCATATAAGTTTATATTATATATATATATATATATATATATTTATATTTATATATATATAAACGTCATGCCTAAAGAAAAGGTCTTTTTAATACTTAGTACTATGAAACCCTGAAACGTTACAGTTGATCTCTTCCTCTGCTCAAGAATCTAGCAAAGGCAAAAAGGTCAAAATAATAAAGAAGTCTTCATCTGGTAAAAATTGAAGCTTGTGGTGAGCGGTGACCCAAGCTTTTATCTATGAGCAGTGACCAAAGTCTCAATGAACCTTAAGCCATCAAACCTCGGTGCAAATTTTTCAGTTGAATCTGATTTCTTGATTGCAGAATTTTCATGCTCTTTCTTGTTCTGCAAAATTAAACAAATCGAAATCATGAATTTAACCATTCAAGCCAAAGTGATCAACTAATCTTATAAAACTATTTGAGAATTTCACCATTTAAATCATGAATTCTTGGTCATTGTTTTCTTGGCAACCAAACAAGGCAAAACAGGAGGACAAATATTTTTCTAAAAAAGATGAGATACACAGTTTAAATCTATAGCAAAGAGTAAAAGAAAATGACCGAGAATTGAGTTAAAAGATTTTACCTCGCCAGACAACTGAGAATTTGAATTACAAGTAAAATTGGAGGGAGAAGAAGAAGCAGAGATGGCAGTGGCAGAGGCAGCAGCGACAGAAGCAGCGAAGAGGCCTGATTTCTTCATGGTTGAAGATAAGCAATCTGATTGAAAGAATTTTGATAAGCGGAAAGAAGACTAAGGAACTATGAGAAAATTTTGGATGTTTGATGATCGCATTTATATATTATAAGAGGGGGGGGGGGGGGGGGGGGGGGGGGGGGGGAGGAGGGATTGCCATTTGCCAGTTTGTTAATGGTAATTTCGAATATCTACGGGGCAACCATACCCACCGGGTGCTTCTAGTTGCACCACTTAAAATTCTTTTTCCACACTTCAATATTTTTCTTTCATAAATCTAATTTGTAAAAATAAATTTATCACATAGGTACTTATATTGACAATTCTTTTAAATGACACATAAAATATTTTTTAAAAAAATTAAGATAATTTTTTTAATTATAAATTAGATAATTTTAAATTTATTCAAATATCAAATTATTCAAATTATAATTAAAAATAAAATCAATTTAGAGATATATATTCTAAAATTAAAAATATAAAATATGAATTTTATTTTTTTAATAAATAATTTTAATTGTTTACCAAATAATCTTATTTAAAAAATTATTTAATTATCAAAATATTTCAAATATGTTTAAAAATTATAAAAATTAGGTCTATCCATATCTTTCACTAATTTTTTTTATCTTGATTTAAAATTTTTTATTAAAAAATATCTTTTTTAAAAAATTTACGTAAGACATTAAAAATTCAAGTAATTTTATGTAAGATTTTAAAAATTCAAAAAATTTTCATCATAAATCTTTAAATAATAAGATTGTCAAAATGATTATATTCATTTAAACTCTAATTATCAAATTTATATTTCAAATAAATAAATAAAAATTAATATTATCTTTATTACTTATTATATCAATTTAAATTTTAAAAATTATCTATTTAATTTTAATTGTCACTAAAATTTTTTTTTACAAATTTAAAACTAAAAATATAATGTGTTATACATCAATTTTTTTTATTTTTTCAATAACTTTTTTTAAGGTATATTCTATTACTATAGCAATTTGTTTGTTTTTTTTTTTTGTTTATAAATTATTATTATTATTATTATTACAATTTCATTCTTATGAAAAATAATTTTTTTTCAATCTATTTTTTTCACATATTTTCTAACATTTTTCATATTTTATATAATAATTTAGTCAATATTACTTAAGTGAAAGAATATCATATTACTATTGCAATTTGTTTTTTTCTTTGTTTACAAATTTTTTCTAAGATATATTTTATTGTTATTACAATTCCATTCTTATAAAAATAAAATTTTTTCAATTTATTTTTTCACATATTTTCAAATACTTTTCATATTTTGTATAATAATTTAGTCAAGATTACTAAAGTAAAAGGGTGTTAATACTACTTTTATTATTTAATTTATCATTCTATAATATATATTTTTTTATTTTTTTAAAAATGATGTAATTTATTTTTTTTATATAATTTTACAAGTATATAAATATTATTGTAAACAAAAATATCCAAAGAAAAGACAAATTTTTTTTGCTGTTTTCAAAAAGTTTATTTTTCAATAACAAATCAATATATAAAAATTTTATTCATGTTATAAGTTTTAAATATTTAAATATAATTTGTTTAAAAAATTAATTTATATATAATCATATTAAATAAATAAAATTATTTCGTATATCGCACGGATTATAATCCAATATTTATACATAAAATATTTTATATATCATTTAGTAAATTATAATTTTAACCTTTTACAACCGTTTACATTCCCTTTCTCTTCTTTTTCCCATGTTCTTTTTTTTTTCTTCATCTTTCTTCTTTTTTCTTGAGAAAAAAAATTCTAAATCTCTAAAACAAACCTCCGAATTTTGAAATGTTTGTTAAATTCTGAAAAAATAAATAATCAAATGAGAAACAATTACTACAACAAAAGACACTTTTAGTGAGGATCACGACTCTCACTAAAAGTCTATATAATTTTCATTAATTCTTTTAGTGAAGGTCAACGTAACCTTCACGAGCTCTCATTGTAAATTTTTTCGTTAATTTTATATAATAAAAAAAAAAATTGCCCCTTACTATATTTATCATTTAACAAAACATTAAAAGACTTTCACTAAATATAAACAATTAATGATAACCATTTTTTACCCTCATTAAATATAAAACCTATAGTAAAAATCAAATCTAACTCTTATAATATCTTTTACGTTTAATAAAAGTTTTTATTAACTCTCACTTAAAGTTTTTCCTTTTAGTGAACTTTCATATACCCTTATTTAAAATTATTTTTACTAAGGATTATGACTTCCACTATAATACTTTATATCATTTAATGAAAATCTTATGACCCTAAAAAAAATACATATTTATATATTTTTATTGATCTTGTTAATAACTACATATATTTTTTTATATTTGTAATTCTTATTCCAAGCAAAACATAAATAAATAAAATGTGTCAAAAAAATTGCATAAAATCAAATAAGCATTGACATATACTAATTTCAAACGACAAACAAACATCTTTCATAATTAACATATCAATTCTTTTTAAGTATTCTAGTTTTTTGGTCAAAAAACTTGACAAATTTGTACGACAGTGAATCAATATACAATCAAAGTCATCTAATATCGATCTAATTTTCTTCTTCATGAGAACCACTTTATTCGTAGCAATAACTCCATTGAGATTAAAATCACTACAAGAAAAAGAAAAACATATATAACAAAATGAAAACAGATAATACTAAAAATATTTACAAGTTTAAATATTGTTTCTTGCTAAAAATATCCAAACAAATAGACCATATAAGACCAAGATAAGCCCTGACAAGAATATTAGGCAAAACTAAACCAAAACCAACAAGCAAATGCAAAGCAATACCAAATATAATAATCCTTAAAACTCTAGCATTCACATAATTAGCATTGTTAAAGAATGGAAAATTTATCAACTTAAATTGCACTAAACATCCAAGTAGAGTTTCATCATGCAAGGCCAAAATACACAAAGACACTATTTAGTACCAAGATTGTGAAGTAATCAAATTTAACATTCAAGAATCACAATAGGGCTCACCTACAATTCTGATGACTATAAGAACTTGAATGATCAGCTGCTTCTTCCTGTTTCAATGAAGTATTAGCTACCTAGAACATGAACCGTATAAAAGCTAATTATCTATAAATTAGAAAACCATCCACTTCATTTGACTCAAGACTCATTTTCAATCACCTCATAGTTTTCTCTCCTAAGATGTAAAATTTCTTTGTGAATATCAATATAGTGCGCCTATAGACCAAACACCTATCATACCGCTAAATTATATCTTCACCAATTTATTAGTGAATAAACACGAATAATACCTTTCTTAACTACATATCCATCACTACAATATCCTTAAATTTCCCTCTAAAGCCCAAATTCTTCTCTACCAGTCCACGTAAACCTTCTTCTGATATCTTACAAATCCATCAACATTTTTAATGCCGTTAAAAACCGAACACATGAAACCCTTAAGTTATAGAGGCAAAAAATTCCAGCACTAAAAAACATTCAATGTAGCCATCCTGTTGACATATCAACTCAGACAACCCTAACTGATTCCCAAATTCCTAGTTTTGCTTACTGCTGCAGTTGCAAAGCATAGCACTCTGGTTTTCTTGAGTGTAAACTCACCCCGAAGTAGACAAATTAATCAAACCTTTCCTGTGTTTGAAAGTTAAAGGAAGATTGAGGATTGTTATATGAGTGGAGATTTCATTCTTAAAACAGTAGCAGAAAGAAATCCACCCATATTTGTTTTAGATGATAACAATAATAATAATTTAGTGTTTATAAATATTACAGTCAATCTCAACATCACATAGAATGACTCCACTTTTGCACATTTTCAGCACTTGAGTAAAAATAACTTTTTACGTAACTTTTGTGCACCTGCATAACTGTGGGAAAACACTTATTTACAGCTGGTTGTAATTTTGTAATCTGTATATTTATATTTGTATCTCTAGAATTAAGTATTTGTATCCCTAGAATTAAGGAAGATTTAGTTTCCTAGTTTAACCCCTAGTTAGTTGTATATAAACCTAAGATTCTTGTATAATTGTAAATAAGCAGTTTTTCAATATACATTCAGTTTCCACATGGTATCAGAGCTTTAAGCTCTTATTGAGAAGAAAAATTTTCAGCCTTCATTGCTGACTTTTTTAGGCCTTCATTGCCGAATCCTGTTTAGGCCTTCATTGCCGAACCCTTTCAAAGAAATATATCACTATCACCCAATTTGAGAAAATGTTAACTGGAAAAATCACTGGAGTACTACAGATGTCTCAGAAACAAAGAGAGTTCAACAGGGAAGAGATTGAAAAGCTGAGAAACTTATTGAAAATCCTTGACAAGCCTACTATGGTATGTTCTTTGGGTCTAGTTCAGGTAAAGCTTCCGATTCTCATGGATTAAATGTCTCAGCTAAGCCTATTACGAGTTCTTGGGTCATTGACTCAGGAGCCACAGACCACATGACACATTCCCCACAAAAATTTAGTACATATAACCTGTGTCCTAGCAATAAGAAAATTGTTGTTGCTGATGGTTCACTTACCACAGTGGCAGGATTAGGAGATGTTCAAGTTAATCCCTCATTTGTTCTAAAAAATGTTCTTCATGTTCCTGGATTGTCTACTAATCTGATATCTATACAAAAACTTACCAGAGATATGAATTGCAAAGTAACTTTTTATCCCTCTTATTGTGAATTTCAGGACCAGAGTTCGAGGAAGATGATTGGACTTGCTAAGGAGAAGGATGGACTATACTATCTTGAGACATCAAATAACACAAGTAGTATCAAAAATAGTTTACCTTTATCATTTCTTTCTGAAAAATCTTCCAATAAAGACAAAATCTGGCTTTATCATTTTCGTCTTGGACATCCTTCTTTTGGAACCTTGTGAAACATGTTTCCTTCTTTGTTCAAAGAATTAAATGTTGAAGATTTTCATTGTGATATTTGCGAATTTGCAAAACATAGACGTGTGTCTTTTCCAATCAATAACAAAAAAAGTTCTACTCCCTTTTACTTGATTCATAGTGACATTTGGGGTCCCTCTACAATTCCTAATATTTCTGGTGCGAGATGGTTTGTTTCATTCATAGATGATTGTACTAAGGTCTCTTGGGTTTTTTTACTTAAATCCAAATCAGATGTGAATAATGTGTTTTTAAGCTTCCAAAATATGATCCAAAATCAATTTGGAGTGAGAATCAAGAGACTTATGTCTGATAATGCAAGAGACTACTTCAACCAGAGTCTATCCACCCATTTTCAAAAAGAGGGGATTATCCATGAGTCATCTTGTGTTAATACTCCACAGCAGAATGGAGTGACAGAGAGAAAAAACAGCCATTTATTAGCCACAACCCGAGCCTTTCTTTTTCAAGCAAATGTACCTAAATCTTATTGGGGGGAAGCTATTCTCACTGCCACACACATTATAAATAGATTACCTTCAAGAGTTTTAGGATTTAAAACTCCTATGGAACTACTCTCACAATTTTATCCCAACCTCAATACCACAAACAATCTCACACCTAGGATATTTGGTTGTACATCATTTGTTCATGTTCACAGTCATAACAGGGGAAAGTTGGATCCAAGAGCGATTAAGTGTATTTTTGTGGGGTATTCTTCAACTCAAAAAGGATATAAGTGCTATCATCCTCCTACCAAAAAATTTTATGTGTCTGCAGATGTCACTTTTGACGAAAATAAACCATTTTTTACTCAACCTTATCTTCAAGGGGAGACTTCATTCATAGAAGATAAGGATAAAGACTTCTTTTTACTTGATTTGCCCCCTTCTTCAACATTTACACCCATTAATTCTTATGAGTCAAAACCAGTTTCTGCTGAGCCCAAGTCAAATATTGAATTTGAGTCTGAACCCATTCCAAATACAGAAGATGTGACAAAGGATAATATCGTTCTTGATTCTATGAAGGAATTACAGGTGTACTCAAGAAGGAAAGTTCCAGATCCTAAACCGGCGCCAGTCCAAGAACCTGATCCTAACTCTGGAAATGAGGTAACTACAGTTTTTGACTCCGTTTCTCAAAATGAGCATGAATCTCCTAATAATATAACTAGTGATTATGATTTGCCTATTGCCATTAGGAAAGGAACCAGAGAATGTACCAAGCATCCACTATACCCAATATCTAATTTTGTGTCATTTGAAAATTTTTCACCATCCCACAAAAATTTTCTTGTGAGCCTAAACACTATTTCTGTTCCAACAACATTATCTGAGGCATTATCCAGTGAGAAATGGAGGCAAGCCATGAAAATAGAAATGGAGGCCTTAGAGAAAAATCAGACATGGGAACTGGTAGAGTTGCCTAAAGGAAAAAATCCAGTGGGGTGTAAATGGGTTTTCACTGTAAAATACAAAGCAAATGGTACTGTTGAAAGGTATAAAGCCAGGTTAGTGGCTAGGGGCTACACTCAGACCTACGGAGTGGATTACCAGGAAACCTTTGCTCCAGTTGCCAAGATGAATACAGTTAGGATTTTGTTATCATTGGCTGCAAATTACAATTGGCAGCTTCAACAATTTGATGTAAAGAATGCTTTTTTACATGGTGATTTGGAAGAAGAAATATATATATGAAGGTTCCACCGGGATTTGGAGGTCATCTAGAAGCAAACAAAGTTTGCAGGCTAAAAAAGGCTTTATATGGCCTTAAACAGTCTCCTAGAGCTTGGTTCGGGAGATTTGCCAAAGTGATGCTAGTAATGGGATATAAACAGAGTCAAGGAGATCACACATTGTTTATCAAGCACTCTGATTCAGGGAGATTCACAGTTCTATTAGTGTATGTTGATGATATAATTGTAACTGGAGATGATGAAAAAGAGAAAGAATCTCTAAAACAATTTTTGGCTAGAGAATTTGAGATAAAAAAGCTTGGGAGATTGAAGTACTTCCTAGGAATTGAAGTAGCTCACTCAAGGTATGGTATTTTTATCTCACAACAAAAATATGTGATGAATCTTCTGAAGGAAACTGGGAAGCTTGCATGTAAACCTGTAAATACCCCTATAGAACCTAATCATAAAATTGAAGAAACTAATGAAGATGCTGCTGTAAATAGAGAGATGTACCAAAGATTAGTTGGAAGACTCATTTATCTCTCACATACTAGACCTGATATAGCATATGCTGTGAGTGTGGTAAGTCAATTTATGCATAGTCCTAAAGAAGTGCACCTACAGGCTGTCTACCGTATATTGCACTATTTGAAGGCCAATCCTGGGAGAGGTATCTTATTCAAAAGAGATTCAGGGTTAGCTCTAGAAGCATATACAGATGCTGATTATGCAGGTTCAGTAACTGATAGAAGATTTACCTCAGGCTACTGCACTTTCTTAGGTGGTAATCTTGTGAGGAGGAGTAAAAAACAAAATGTGGTGGCAAGATCAAGTGCTGAAGCAGAGTTCAGAGCAATGGCTCAAGGAATTTGTGAACTACTATGGTTAAAGATTATCCTAGAAGACTTGAAGATCAAGTGGGATGGACCAATGAGACTCTACTGTGATAACAAGTCTGCAATAAGCATTGCACACAATCCTATGCAACATGACAGAACAAAACACATTGAAGTAGACAGGCATTTCATAAAGGAGAAACTAGACAGTGGGTTGATTTGTACACCTTATGTATCAACCAAGGGTCAACTTGCAGATGTGTTGACTAAAGGTCTCAGCAGTGCAACATTTCAAGAAATTATTTCCAAGCTGGGAATGGAAAACACCTATTCACCAGCTTGAGGGGGAGTGTGGGAAAACACTTATTTACAGCTGGTTGTAATCTTGTAATCTGTATATTTATATTTGTATCTCTAGAATTAAGTATTTGTATCCCTAGAATTAAGGAAGATTTAGTTTCCTAGTTTAACCCCTAGTTAGTTGTATATAAACCTAAGATTCTTGTATAATTGTAGATAAGCAGTTTTTCAATATACATTCAGTTTCCACAATAACAACTATAATTCAAGCAAATGAAAAATAAAAACAAAAAGGAATGCGAAGAAATATCCCACCTTAGCAGAGACACCCATTTTGCACAATCAATTGCTATGTGTGTTTCACAAGCAATGCTCTCCTTCATCCCCATTAATACTGCAAGCGCATTTTCAAAGGATGACAAAGCAGCATGTGCTTCAGTGTAATTATTGTACTTACTGCTAGATTTTGGTATTTCAGAGGCCCCAGAGTCAGCTTTACGTTCATTGTCAGCAATTGAAACACATAAAGATTTGGTGGGACAAGAGTGAACATTTGGACTACAACACCCATTGCTTTGAATAATAGTATCCAAAGACAGAAACAGCACAGCATGAATCCCCAAAAAGAAAACCACAGTGAAGTTTGAATCTAGAAGGAACAAGAAAGAAGAGCCGAAAAACAACCAATGCACATATAACTTTAACTATAATTAGCCTTACCCATATCTATTTGAATGATAAGAACTTTCTGCATCTTCTTTCATATAAGAATATAAATGAACAGGGCCAATGGAATGCGTGGGGTAGACAGAAAAGACTTATAGAAGATGCCAGCATCACACAAAATTGCAACTTGACAGACATCAGTCACTACTAATCATGTTAGATCTATGCTATATTGATCTCCAGGATTTCATTATGCTAATGAGGTATTCCACATTAAAGTTGAAGTAGTAGACTAGAAAATAGAAATCCCTTCCTACTAAGTTCCAGTAAATAGAAAGGGAAGACATGCAGAAATGTTTACCTGCACAATTCAAACTTGAAAAACAAGACGATTAGCGTGGTCTTCAGCCAAATGTAGTAATCTTTTATGTGTTAGCACATCTTCTGCCTGCTCCACGTTCACATCCAATGCATATCTATCAGCAGTAATAGAAATCACGAAACATCAAGAGAGAACAAATCATAATTTAGTTTAAGCTCAAGTATTAAATATTAAAAAAAAAAAGAAATAATACCAATAGCTTCGAACTTCATTAACTAGACTATTATTAAAGGATAATGAGAAAGATGAGAAAAGACAAACAATAAGTCTCACCTTTACACAACTGCTTCGCTGTTTTGATTTGAACTCCTTTTTGTTTCTTGTTTGTTAAAGACAAAATGAATTTTTTAAAAAGGGGATGATAACCATAAATCTTACACCAATTGTAAGATTCATGAATCTTATCTCAAACTTTTTGTTCCAATCATCAGCAACCAAAAAATCATTTTAGATAGTTCAAAAAGAAAAAATTACAGAATCAAACAAAAACAGAAATATAGGTTTAGGGTTAGTACCGAGCAGGGAGTAGATTGAAATGAAGCTAGAGCCAATCATTGAAGTCCGGCAGATTAGCTTCCTTATAATTAAATGAGTATTTAATTAAACTGATATAATCTGAAATGAGAGAAAATTATTAACAGAATATACCATACTCACAAAACTATTAATAATACCTGTACATTCTTCAGTGCAAGGACAATACCATCTCTCTGATTAGAAATCAAGTCAGAATGTTTTGATCCAGGGGACTGTAATACACTGCTGAAATATCAATTTTAAGCATTGTTAGAGAGCTAGTAAAACCTTTGAAAGGATAAACTACAAAGATATACACAACAAATTGAGCATGCTAAAAGATTGCCTAAAATGTATAAAATACTAAACATTATGTCATTCTTATCATACCATCATGCTTGTAAATATTAACAGCAAATTTGTTTCTATTGTTGTGCTTATCCTAGAAATCCTCACCTTCTAAACAAAATTCTGGCACAAATAAAACTTGAAGCGGTATCAAAATTCAGCATGGTGTTGAATCAAAAGCAGTTTTGGCCTGGCGAGGTTGCATGGTTGCAAATTTTCTTATCAGGTGAATTGACAAAATGAGGAACGAATATGGAGTTAGCAGCAATTTCATCTAGCAAAGCCTTCTTCACAAAGCACATTAAAGTATCACCTTTCCAGAGAGTCCACCACTATGGCCTATGTTTATAGTGTTTCCAGTAGATCTGCGACAAAACATGAAATAGAGAACATTATTTAAGAAAAACCACAAGAATGTTGACTTCATCCACCGTTGAGGACAGTGTTTAAACAAAACAAGAGAAACTAGACATCAACACTATAAGCTGATATTCATTTTCCCTTCTAGCAAGCAGTTGGCTTTATCAGCATAGCAGATTGAAGGTATCTATGTTGTGTATCTTTACAATTTTTGGCAGTCAGCCTATTTCCTCGATATAAAAGCACAAACAATGAGAATAACAGCACAGTTAGTTTCAATTCAAAAGCAAAAGTACCAAAATTGCTTACAACTGAAGGCCATAAGGAAATTTGGAGATTAAACTTTACCGCAGTTCAATAGTTCTTTTCTTTCACTCCATAATCTATCATCAAGAAGCTAAGAGCCTAAGACCTAGTGAACCCTCTCAAAACCAGGCCATTTATTAAATCATTATGAACAATTTCTAGAGTGCAAAAACTATGAAGAGAGAAGTAAAAAAGTGACCTTTGACGCTGAGAATGAGGGCTGCGACTTCGAGGGCTAAAGCTGAGAGAAGGAGAGGAAGAGGATAAGGATCTAGACCAAGAGCGAGAGTGAGAGCTAGACGGAGAAGCAGATCTAGATCGGGAGTTCAGCGATGACTAGGCTTATCGAGAAGAGAGAGGGACAGTGGCCGTAGTGGCGACAGCGTCAGCGGTGGTGACAAAGGCGGAGCCGGTGACAATGCTGAATTGGGGGCAACGAAGAAACCCTAATTCTTGGTTGAGAGAAAGAATTATTTTTTCCTTGCCCTACAGATAAAATTTTGTTATAGACGGCTGGTTGGCAATTTTGAAACCCTAAAAACAAATAAAAGGATTGACATCGAAAATATTTTGCCATTCTTTATTATGTCACATAATAAAGTAAAATAAAATAAAAATTCAAGCTTTCCTTCATCAAAAGTTGCAACCTTAAACAATATTTTTTCTATTATATATTTCACACATTTAGCTACATTACTATATAAAAAATATATATATGATTTAGAATGTGTTTGGTGGGTCGATTAACATGGCTATTAATTTTCAATAAAATCATAAATCATAATAATAATTTTTTATTTATTGATTTTTTTTATAATTTTTTATATTAAATACGTTTTAAAATATTTTTTATTTTTGATTACTATTGAAAATAATATATTTTTTATGAGATTACAATGACTTTCATAAAATTTATAAAATTCTTATTTAAATTGTTTAATTTTTAAAAAATATATATATAAAGTAATAAATTTTATTTAATGAGATTTAAAATGACCTTACTAAATCTATTTATATTCATTTTTAACTCCCAACTCAATTGTAGATATGAAAGTTTACACTTGTGAAACAAATTTGTGAAGATCAACTTTAAATACTCATAAAAATATTAAATAAGTGAAGACCATTTATGATTCTTACAACAAAATGACTTTTAATAAGGATAAAATGTATTGCTCACTAAAATTATTCTTAATGAAGGTTAAGGATGGCTTTCACTACAAAAAGAGATTTTAGTGAGGGTCAACACTTAACCCACATTAAAGTTCTCACTAAAACACACTTTTCTTATAGTGAATATTAGAAGAGATAAACTTGACGAGGTAATTCATTTAAAATCTATTTTAAATTGAAAATTTTATGTGTATAGAAATGGATTTCCAGTAATGTAAAATAATTTTCGAAAATGCAACATTGTTTTTAAAAATACATTTCTAAAAAATATGTTGCATTACTAGATATCCATTTTCTGATACTGCATCATTATTTTCGAAAATGTATTTTTGAAAATCATATTGCATTACTGGTAATGCAATGGATATCCGGTTATGCAACATGCTTTTTGAAAATGCATTTTTGAAAATCATATTGCGTTATCATATATCTATTTCCTACAATGCAACATTATTTCGAAAATGTATATCCAAAATCATTTTACATTATTAGATATCTATTTTCGTAAACATTAAAATTGCCAAGTAATGGCATTATTATTTCCACTTCCTAATGGTATTATTATAATTTTTTAACATATCGTAATATGTAGATCAATTTGGAAACTACATTGTTAAAGTGGAATCAATCACCAAAAATTTAGATACTAGATATGATTGCATGGATTCATTTACTATGGAAAGGTGAGATTATGTTTTTGAGGTAGTTTGTTATGGAAGGTATAACATGTTAGTTTTATAGATATAATAAGTTAAATATGTTGTGTAAGTGTTTTGTAGTAAAGAAGTTTCAATTTTATGGGCTAAACGGTTAGAAAAGATAATGGTTTTGTGATTGTGATTAAAAACTCTAAATTGGGAGGCTTGAGAAAATCTAGAATAATGAATGAAGTAAAAATAAAGATGGCAACGGATCGAGTCGGGATGAGTTTTTGCTCACCCCAAACCTAACTCGACTTTATATCCACAATACCTGAACCCAACTCGACTCAACTTTTTAAAATTATTTTATACCAAAATCTTACCTAACCCTAAGTAGAAAATATAGGCAACAAAAGAATAAAGGCAAGGTAAAGAGAATGCAATGAGAACGAAAAAGTGTGGTTGCCCATTTGAGTTATATAAGATTAAGTTGGCAATGGATTATCGATGGGGTGTGAAAGTAATTTGTGGATTTCACAATCATCTACTAAAGCAAAACAATTCGAGGAATATTTATTTGTAGGTTGATTATCTTAAACAAAAAAAAAGTAGTTACTAATATGTTAAACATATGGTCAAACCTAGAAACATACTGTTGATCATAAAACAACATAATGAAAAGAATGTTAGCATTATAAAGATAATATACAATGAATGTTAACGATATAGATATGTTGAGAAAGTTGGCAAATCTCAAATGCAGTAGCTCATGAAGAAGTTGACCTATTGTAAATACCTAGAATGGCACAAGACTAACGAGTCAAGTGACTGTTTGAAAGACTTATTCTGGGCTCATCCTACTAGTGTAGATTTATTACAACCTTTCCTAAGTGTTTTGATTATGGATTGCACTTAAAAAATGAATATATATCATTTGCCATTATTTGAAATTACTGGTGTGACTTCCGTCGAGATGATATTTTTTGTTGTATTTGTGTACATAAAGGCCAAGTATTCTGAGAACTATAGTTAAACTCTGGATAAGTTAAAAAATTTAATGTTTGCTAGTATATTTTCTACTGTTATTGTTACTTATAAAGATTAGGCATTGATGAATATAATAGACATTATGTTTTCCAACACAGTAAATCTTTTTTGTAGATTGAATATCTTAATAAATGTGCTTGCAAATTGTAGGAAGCTTTTTGAGTGAAAAGAGAAATGGGAGGCATTCATCTCAAGTTAAAGTGTACTTGTGTTTTCTTTTATCAATGATGAGTACGATAGGCATTTAAGTTCACTGAACATTGATTATCAAACGTATAGAGCTACAATAAGTATATTAAAAAGCAGTGGTTGACAAAGTATAAGGATAGATTTATTGCTGCTTCGACAGATAAAGTAATGTACTTTAGTAATGTTACATCAAATAAATATGATTTATATTGCATTTTTAAGATTATTTATGGTTTAGGGTTTCATAACAAAATATTTTAATATACCTTTATTAATTTGTTTAGGATCGAGACTGCATATGTAAAATTAAAGAGGTATATTAGATCATTTTAAGAGGGTTTTAAATCATCATAGAAGATAATTAACTCCTTTATTTAGCTTCAACATACAAAGATCAAGACTTTACTTAAGAGAAGTCTTACAATTGTCAAGCATAATCATAAGCCTTCATTGTTAAAAGAGTTACAAGATTTGGTATCTAAAGGTGCACTTAATATGATATTAATGAAGGTCAAACGACCTAATCATGTAGAAATTGAGAAAATACTTATGGTTTTATGATCAGAAATACGCATGGATTACCTTGCGCTCACAAAATTACAAAACATGTAAGGATGAAAAGTTTAATTTATTTAACTAAAGTGCATCATCATTTGAAGAAGTTGTATTTAATTTTAATGATATCTCTGAAGAGTTGATCATTGTGTCTAAGGTTGATCGAATCATAAAACGCTTCAATAAATGTGATGAGTTCAGTAAATTAGCCATGAAAAGAAAGTTACAAAAACTTGATGATCCGTCAACAACTACCTTAATTCCACCATTAAAAATACCTGAGACAAAATGTTGTAAAACTATAAAAGTAGATACCTCTACACCGCATGACCTGTCACACTTGGAGATTATGTTATCTACACAGGATAGCACATCACCACCAACCATTATAAACTCAGTGAAAGTAATGACATAGATTACTAAATTTTTGGTTTAGCATCCCTATAATAAATGAAAAATACGATATTTGGATAGTTTATCAGTGGAGTTACATCTGTATATATAGAGTATCATTGATGTTGAGGCAGATAGATATTATAGTTTTAATTTTATTATTGGGTTGCTTGGATTGGTTTTGATAGTTGGGTACAAGAGTAACAAGATTTAATTAAAGAGTTTAATTGGTTTTGAGGTGAATATATGACTTTATATGAATTTATAGAGCATGTTAAAAAATTCTTGGAAACCTTATTACATTTCGACACTTCTATTATATATAATAAATAGATGACCTTACCTAATATGGGTCATTTGATTACTTTACTGATAATTTTATTTTTATAGAATTGTCATAGAGGTTTTATGATTAATTATAATGTTTTTCATTCTTAATTTTGTTTGTTTAAGTCTATTTTCCACCTAAATTTGTTTAATGTTTTCATTGTAGGAAAGTGGAAAAAAATGGTGAATTATACATTGTATGAGCACCATGGCCGAGACCTCTCATACATAATTTAGCCACTCTTGATTACATAGACTATAATGGATAAATGGTAGATGAATGAGAATGCATGATAGAACCAAAGGATACAACGTAGAGGATCAATGCTACTTAGACATCTACATGAAGTTTATAAACTGTGAGGTGCTACTTATGCATGAGATGTGTGATTGGGCAAGACAACAAGGACTAAGAGCTGCCAACATGGATTAAAAAGCCAACCAATGTCTTTTACCTCAGCAAACCAAGTGAGAAACCATGAAAAAACATGCGTAAGAAGCTAGCTTACATATGATAAAGAGGGGGACCAAAAGCATAAAAAGATAAAGTTAAAACTTGGGAAAAAGACGATTACTGTAATTCTTTGTGCTACTAATCTCCACAATTTTGTAGTGGTTTGTAGTTAAAAAATTAAAAGGAAAAGAGGTATAAATAAGTGTGGCTTTATGATGGAAAATTATTGGAGAAACAAATAGGCATAAGCAAGATAGTAAAATGCATTATAGATAAGTCAGCACCTTATTGCCAGTACATTACCAACTACTGTTTTAAAAGCCTTTCTACCTTTATTCTTTCTCAATTAAACCAGCATAGTGGTCTAATTATGTCTTAAGTAGCAATATGAATTCTCTTCAATTATCCGTATTGACATCCAGCACATAGCAAGAAATGTTAATGAAAAAGCCAAGCTAGCCATAAGCTACCAAGAGATTGCCTATCTATAGTTTTTACCTTCATTCAACCTTAAAATTTTTTATTTGAAGAGGGCATAAAGCTACCACAATAAGTCTTAGGTGGAGGTATCAAAATCTCCTATTAGTCCAACTTAACATAGAGCATATAACAAGGAAAAAGCTTGGAGATTTTTTTTTCTTCTCTTCTCTTTTAAGAGTTTGATTAGGAGATTAGGTATATGAAAGGGTCTAAGAATCAAGTCGCTGACCATCTTTCTAGGTTAGAGAATGTTGGAGTAAGTAAAACCATCATTAATGAGACATACTCTGGTGAACAACTATTTGTTTATGGCCACTCTAGCTTACCTTGGTATGCAAGCTATGTTAATTATTTGGTTGGTAAGGTCGTCCTTCTAAAATTTTCCTACCAACAGA